GATGCTCAGGCACTAARCAGATATATGCATGTATGAAACTTCAAAAGCACTGTAAAATTAAATGGAATGTATTGGTTCCTTTTCTAATGAAATTATTSATAAAGTGCAAATATTATCTATAACAAAAATAAAATAAATATGTTCATCTTAAGATGTGATTTCAAAATGTTTCAGTCTTCTTCTCCCTACTTAAAACCATTTTTTTCACACTTTACAAAAAATTTTCCACATATGTTTTAACCACCAGGAAAAAAAAAATCATCCTATTACAAATTTCAAATGGTATGCAGTGAAAAATGTTACTGACATATGTAACAGGACACAGTGAACAGAAAACGGGTATGTTCCAATCAGTGTAGCACATTTTTTTATTAATGAGTACCAATATGTTGGGTAAAATTCTTGAGCCTCTTCTTTATTTCTTTAAAATATATAAAAAAGCTTTTCCATTATGGAAAGGCCCCGCAGTCGCACATGAAATAGATGACTCCTGCTTCTTCCTGGAGCCTTTGAAGTCTGTAATGCTCATGAGGTGCAAGTATTTCTGTAGATACAGAGTATAGATCAGGACCTGTGTACAGCTCAGATTACCTCAAAAATATGTTTGTATTCTCTGAAATTAGGTGGTAAAAGGCTACTATATTTTATTTACATCATATCCCTTTCATGAGGTCCACTCCATTGCCACAATTTAAATTCAAAGCCCAGCATTTATGAAGTTCAGTGAGATTAGCTTCTGTACCATGGCAATGCCCTCATTTCTGGGAGGCCTGTCTGCTGCTCTGTGCAGGTCTAGAACACAAAGCAGCAAAAGTGCCAAATGACAGCCAAACTTAAAAAGACCTGCAACKAAGCATAAAAATAGCATCATCCAGGTATAGCCCTAGTAGCTGTGCAAAGCTACCAGGCAAAGATGTACACTAAAACCCAAAATGAGGCAATGAAACAATCAAAGCAAATAAGCAAAATGGTGGTGGAACTAATATATTCACTTCTAGATTCAATGAAAGAAACTATCCCTTGAATTTTGGATGGTTGCCATAAAAGTTGAAAGAGTTGCTCTGTAATGTCATTTGTACTTGTACTTCTGAAGAGGTAAACGTGTATGAAATGTATAAATCAAATGTGCATGAAGTGAATATTAGTCCCTTCAGACAGCGGCTATGAAAGTGGATTACAGTTCTGCAGCAAAAAGGGAATTTGACCAAAAAGAGGAAATAAGTAATTCAGCCTTGGGAAACCAGAGAAAACAGAAGGCAAGGCAAGAAAAGGCCAGGCAAAGCAAAGCAAGGCCAGGAGAGGAATAAAGCTGCTGATGAGTATTTTGGCCTTGTACACATGTACATAAATATATATATAAAAGCTTGAGATCACAATTCACCAGGCATCCTGTCCAACCACCTCAATTTGCATGCAAACCATCATCCCTAGGCTGCTCCTAGTGTGACACTGGCTAGAAGATGTGTGAAGGTGACAGATGGAGTGTACCAATGAGTTCAGAAATAGTATGTGGGGTTTGGATGTGAGGACACTAGCATAAACAAATGTCTCTCTTTTTCCAGCAGATTTTAACCACTGAAAGGAGTTATTCAGACTTTAAACAAGTAGAAACTTTGAACAGAGAGAACATAGTACATGAAGGGAGCTCAGTTACATAGTCTCTTGTTTCCTCCAGGCCATGTCTGGGGGGACTGGGAAACAACCTAGATGCTTGTAAGTGTCACACAAAACAGGCAAGAGTTCCCATCCAGTAATGCCTAAGCACTCTACAGGAAAACAGCATTTCTGTCAAACAAATAGAAGGAAGAATGCAAGAGTAAYCTTTTGCCAGATTAAGTAAGTAGAAAGGTTCCCTTTGTGATAGTGAGAGCTGTTCAACTGAGACAGCCAGCTCCTCAACAGATCCTACCATTCTATGGTCCCTGACTCTGTTTCTTTTGTGAAGCAGCCCACTCCTGATGTTCCCTGATAAAAACAACTTAAAATTATGACACAAAAACAACAACCTTATGATAATCAAGGAATAACCACTTTCACACAATTAATTCCATGCTCCACTGTTTCCTCTGTGCAAAGCGTCTCTGAAAGGTCTAAAACCATTAACGGGTGAAATTTAGTCTGTCAAAATTTGTACCTCAATTTTTTGGCTCTACTAAGGTTAAAACCTATGGAAAATCACCTGCTAAGAAACAATGGACCTCAAAATTCACAGAAGGAGAAAGGAGAGAGAARAATTCAAGGCAAGCCATTTGATCAGGAGAAAGCCTATAGATCAAGGTCATTGTCTGCGGTGGCCTCCCTCCCCTTTTCTCATGAAAACACTTGGATAAAAGAATACCTTTACTATCAATCAGTTTATGCTATCCACCAGATCATCAGATAGGACTATTGACCTGTATGTTTTCTGTTGTAAAATCAATAAAAGAAAGAAAAAAAAAATACAAGAAAAAGAAAAATGGCAGCATAAAAATCCAAGCTGCTGAGGGTAGTATTTCTCAGGATATTTTTGTGTATTCACATTGAGACATGTACTTCTTACAATTTCATTACAAATTTAAATTTCACTGGATGATAATGTTCTCAAAAAATATGTAGTCCTGACATTTTAGAACTTTAGTGCCGGCATTAAAGCAATACTGAACTTCAAACTATGGGTTCAACTTTCTAAATAGTACTGTTAAACAGAGATATGGATGAATCACACTCMTCTTGGATAACATGGAAACAGGCATTTGCATGACAGTGATCACTGATTTCAGTGGAAGTACAGGCATGTACCACGAGTGCCCCATCTTGACATACACCAAGATACAGTAAACGCAATTCCATGGAGCCTTTATGAGCGTGGGCTAAGGTCCAGGTYGTGGGGGCGTATCAGCCGAGAATTTCAGCCTATGTCTTTTGTCTGAGTACAACCCCAATTGGATTACATATCCAAGTTTCTGGAAAATAACCCTTCATTTCCTAATCCTCTTGACTATAACCATTGTGAGTGGTTTCTATGATGCGTCTAACTGAGAGCCTTATCCAGAAGCCTTTACTYATGAAGAGATTCACTTCTGAGAGGAAGGCAAAAACACATTTCACATGCCAGTCCACCATCAGGCATTGAAGGGTATAATTCATCTTTTTTTTTTACATTATTAAGAATATTTGTACAGAACCTATATTTAAAACTAAAAGAGATGTCTTCTCCTTTTGCCAGCAGCTGTGTTACATCAATTAAATGGGTAAATAAGATCTTTCCCCAGAGGGGATATCACATGATCCTCTATTGATTAAGACTGCAGTAGAATGTTATTTGCAATCTTATTGCATAATGTAAATCAGGAGGTAGCTGTCAAGGTTTCAGAAGACAAATTGCTGCTATCTTAGACAATTCATAGGCCTCTTTCCTTCTTGCTGCTCTTAATTCACTGTTAATGCATGTCTTACCAGGCTTGGTTTCTTAAATCAGTCTACAGAACCACATTCAACTCAAAACTGGCTGTAAGTTGTGGTCTGCATGGCCCTGCATTATAATGAGTATTAAAGTGATCATTCCATCTATCATTATTTCAGAAATATGCATTATTTAATAGGATAGCACAACTTCAAAAAAGGAGATTAGCTAAAAAATAGACACCTCCCACAATATGCAAGATGGTTCCCAGGAAAGACAAACCTCCCCACCAGGCACTACTCCAGAGGTGCTCTCCACATGGAACATTTTTTAAGTCTTACCTCAGTTTTGTGTACTTAATTTTCACAAGTAAAACATATGGCTAGAACTAATTCACTACTCTCAAATCTGTGCAGTAACTGCAGCTGAGCATCAAGTTTGAGACTGAAATTAACACCTGACCACAATCCAGCAGTCACTTGGCTCCTCCACTGAACTAYAAATCCATCATTATTTCCTTTGTGGGAAAACCAAAGGGAAGAACTAAAATCACCATTCAAATGACTGAAACACACTTTGCAGAGAAACTTTAAGAAAAAATGCCAATCTTTCTTCACTACTATTCAATCTGTTATAACAATTAGAAAACAAGTGCAACACTTTTCAAAATACATAACAGCAATATTAAACAATACCCAAATCTTCTGCATCGAAGTCAAAGAAAGAGTCGTTAAGTGGGTTTTAGTGGTTGTAACTTTGTATGAAATAAGCAAGATTTCTGAATGGATGAAAAGAACAGTGGGTGGTAAGACAGTAATAGATTCAGACGTAAGTTACAGTTGTGCTGTGTAAAGAAAAAAGTGCTCAACTTACCATCATCTGTTTGCCATTGSACAGGATTAAAAATTAAGTACTGACTGATCTCCTCCATCCAAACTGATTTTATTAAAATGCGYTCATCTTCCCATCTAACTTCGCAAATTTAAAAGTGGCATGTTTACTTTTCCGTTATTTAGAATGTCTGAGCTTAATAAAGTAATTGGAAAGAAATGCCAGTAGAATTATTGCCTAAAAATAATCTCTCACAAAGTGATTGTTATCACCTTGTAGAAAACATGGAGGAGGTTAAAATGTCAAGGAAATCAAAAATATTACAGTATACTTCATCTGGTACAATATGCACAGCAGTAGCACAAGATTATTACTGATATGTCTCTCTATGTAAGGAAGTTATCTGGTCCTCCAACAAATGTTTTTGTGTTAAAATCTTGTATTTCATTCTCCTGGAAATTTGGGAAATCAATCCCAACCAAGTCTTGATTAGCATAAATGCTCATATGGAGCAAATGTGAGTAGTAAAAAGGTAAGTATACAAATCCCTAAAGAGTTAAAATGTGCACAGTTTGCTCAGACCTTCCAGAGAAGCACTTGGCACCTTAAAATAGGGTCTGCAAACATTGCATTTGGTAATTTTTCMCCCCTTTGCTTTGAAAGGGCAAACCAGCCGTTTCAGATTTCTGAATGCGAAAAGCGTTCTTTGTTTTTTGAAAGTATCACAACACAACCACCTCACTTTTTCATTGTCCATTAAATTTAAAAGAAAAAAAATGCTGCTTACCTTAAAGAGCCTTAAAATATTTGCAACCATAATGGACACAGAACTTGCTGCAGCACCTATCACACCCGATATCTTGTCTGGCTTAGTGAAAATAGGTGGATCACCATTTGCACACTTCACGTCTGAACCATCTTTTTCTATCAATGCTTGCACAAATGTTAASGACTGCTCCAATGCATAAGTGTCCCTGGAACACGTATCAAGGATACGGACACCTAAGGTGATATTGGCAAGAAGATCAGGGTCTTTATTAATCTGATCAACTGCATACAGCATCGCCTCCAATCTGTGGATCCCCTTCTCCTTCTTGAGCTCCCCGCAAGGCACCCCTCTATCCCCTTTTGCATGAACAGGGAACAGTCCTCCCAAGATGATGTCCCCATCCAGTCGAATGGAATGGGCATATTCCTGGCCATGAGTTCTTTGCATCAGAGTGAGTATCCAGTAGAATTTGGCTGTTAACAGGAAGAAACAATGGCAGGAAACCAATCGTTTCCCTTCGTATAGCATTTTCTCTGAAGACGTTGTTGCTATCCAGTATCCAGGTTTTCTTCTTGCTAAAGGATGAGGCTGACCATTTGAAGCTGCACTTTCTGGAGGCTACCATCAGTGCCCAATAAGTAATATAGAACCATGTGGTTGGTAGGTAGGTAGAAAAAAGTGATCTCAGCAGAAGTACATAAAAGGTGTGTTACAAAAGATGTCCRCTGATGGAACAGGTTGACCAGCTTTTCTGAGGTGGTATTTCAATCACTCTCAATTGATGGTGAAGAGTATGGTAGTGTGTCTGGTCCTGGTGCTAAAAGGAGGTCAGTAGCTTATGTCCTTGCATTTTGCCCTACAGCTGAGGTACTTCTGGAAAAAGAGAAAAAAAATTAAAAAACAGTGAGAAATACCATTTACTTCAGCAGTTTTATACCTGTCACACAATGTATTTACTTTTGAATAGCGGTTACACCACCTAGGTTTTACTTTCAATGTTCTTTAAGTGAGCAAATCTCGGCCTTCAGTGAATTTGAACACCTGGCTGCACCGTACTATGAGCCAGGAAATTGATGATGCCAGCAGAGCAACAGCCGAATCAGGGGAACTAAACTTAGCTTGGTGTTCAGATTCTGAACCGTAACTCGTATTTATCTTCACATTGCATGACAYCCAGAAACAGACTTGATCCTTAGCACATTGTATTTTCTGTTTTGCTGCATTATTCTGTTCAACTGTGTTATTCTGAATGCTCCAGCCTACAAAAGTGCAATAACCACTTACACTCTCACTGCTGGAGAGGCCTCATTTATGACAATGGAGTAATCAGGGTGCCTGAATTTAAGTACGCTCTTCAGCCAACGCAGTACAAGCACATTCAATTCACTCGGATGTTAAACTGATTATTTCTCTAATGGAATTCACTTTTGGGCGGGCTAACTATATATCTAAATCTCCTTCAAGATGATGTCTAACACTAAATTATTTTCATGAAAAGGTAGCTGATTTCTCAATAAAAAAGAGCACAATATACTATGTTAGGAAACCAGCTGAACATCCAAAACTCCCTTTCCAACGTTTGACTTGAGCTTGAACATTAACAAGGTCTCTATTTTCTGCTTGCATTTGGACCACATTAAATAGGAACAATGTTATGCCTGCACTGACATTTGGAGAGATCCCAGTGATTTTAACGAGATGAGGATTTCGGCCTACATATCTAAACACCTGRCTGACTGTTATAAGTATCTCCAAATTGCCCACACTTTAATTCTCAAGTGAAGGTATTTATTTATTTCAATTCTTAACAAAATTGCACATGCCTGAATAAATTTTTAAATCTCTGAGGAGAAGAAAAGGAGAAATAATTTAACCTGATACTAGATAGGCACATTGTGGGCAATTGCACATGAACCAGTCTCTCAATACACCTGTTAAAGGCTATGGGAAGCAGTGGACATCCTAGGATACAATTCACCTGATCCTTTTCTTTACAGTTTTACTTACTACTAAATTGATCACACTGAAAAAGTGCCTATGTCACTGCCTATACAGAAAATCCAGGCATCAGGGTCACCTGTAAATACCTACTTTGTCCATAGTGATTTGATGGGCTCCTACCAAAAATATGGTCACACTGTAAGACAACTACAGACAAAACTACAAAACTTTTATACATCATGTGGTAACAAAATTCAAAATGCACTTTGATAATGCTTTAAATTGATAATCCTCTTCCTACATTTATTGTGTCACATGTTTCTCCCTAAATGATAACACTAAGCTCACAAAAGTTGAAGTACAGTTTTCCAATGATGGCTATTTGAAGACCTGAGAAAAAGTTTCACAGTGGAAAGTCCTTTATTGAATGTGGAAGTATCTCACRTAATTTCATAACAGAACCAGTTGAAAATGAAAATTTTAATGGGTGTGCATAAAATCATTGCAATTGAGCATACAGGACTTTCCATGCCTCTTGATATTTAGTTTTGCTTGAATTTGGCTCAGGGYTCAATCCAAATGAAACAAAGTCTGTGCTGTTTTATGTGATAATCCCATTGTACTCCCTTGGCTCTTTTTGGGCACACAGGTTACAAAGCTGCCCAGCTTCAGCTCAGTGAACCAAACTCASAGTCATTCACAAATCGAACAACTTGGCTCACACTACAGAGTGATTTGATCCAGGCCCACGGGATGTTCCTCACATGGTCCACACTTTAGAGAAAGGACTGAACTACTAACTAGCCACAATTATCTGTTGCTTTGATTGTATTAGTAGAAAAAGACAGTTAAGGGTTCAAAAAAGTAAAGAGTAGAAGTTGTAGTCAGACCTAAAATAGGTATGGAGGCAATTTTCTTTATGGTTCCACAATGAACTCATTAGTCCATCCATGCCTGTGACCAGACAGGGAGTAATTCACTAAGGGAATAAAAGATAAGACTACTCTCATTTGACAGTACATGGAGAACAAGAAAGCACCACTGAAAAAGGGAAAATATTCCTGAAGGAAAGAAACGCTGCTTTTTCTCWTTCTCGGCCGCAGGTTAATTCCTCACAGCCAAAGAATGCCCAGAAATTAAAGCAAGTGTCACTCTTTGTGCAAACAAATAGTGATGAATTCAGCTATTGCAACCCAAATTCTAACAACAATAGAAAAGCTACAGTGAGCCCAAGATCATCAGTCTAATACTTTATCTGGAACTGACTGAAAATCAAATGAATTGGCAATTAGCATTTTTCAACATTAGTCTTCCTAAGCATTAATTTCTTTCCCTCAGCTTGCATGGTTTCCTGAAGAAGTATGTTTCTCAGCTGCAAGTGTCCACTGCTTGTCTGTAAAACAGAAATAAAATTTTAAAGTGTTCTTTTTAAAAATTTAAGACCTTTTAGTCTTTTTTTAATGTTACCTAAGAAATAAAAGCTTCTATTATACTGCCTAATTTATTCATGCCACACTGCCTTTTATATATTGATTAATATTTCCTTTTACAGAACATTGCAAGTCTGTGTAGCTAAGCAGAAACTGTATGATCTAAATTAATTCCATTTTTATCAATGAATTTTAGTGAAAAGGCATAGGCCTCTGGGCTATAAAGCCTGAATGAACTTTTCTCATGTGCAGAGATTTTATTTGAARTAAAATTCTGTCCTTTTCCAATTGACCATAAAAATTTGAATTAATGCAAATATATTCTTGATTTACCAGGTTCCCCACTGTAGTAGTTGGTGTTCACTACAAGCTTGACTTCAGACAAGAAATTCATATATTTCCCCAGCACAGCTCGAGAGTAAGTGCACCACAAAGCCTCTCTTCCAGTCACCTTGTGCACATGCATCTCTTGGGTTTATTTCATTAAAAATATCTGGCATTATCAGAACATATTGCTATTTTTAAAGTCAGTATTTCAGCACAAACCTCCACTTGTTCTGCTAGAATATATATTTATTTTTAAACCTAAGGAGGCGGGGTACTGCAAGACAGGGGAGATGGAAACTTCTGCATGTAGTGTCTGGTTCTGAAATTACTTCCTTCATAAAATCATTCAGCTTTATCAGATATTTGGTACTCAGGGCTGCATATTTTGGCACCACACTGCCAGAACCAGCGCATCAGAATGATCCAAAGCCAGTCATTACTCCAACCACAGACTCACTGGACTGAGAGACAGGCTCATTATGAAATCTCTTCATGTTAATAAAAAGGTCTAAATAATGAGTTGAGYGACAGATAAAAACTTAAATAAATAAAAGAAATGTTTCTATTTCATTAATGAGTTTCCTGAAAAAGCCATCTTCAGCTGGCACTGAAGTCTTCACCAAAAACATGTAGAAAGATTCAATATGTTAATCGGGAAATACAGTTTTAAAAAATCTCACAATTACAGACAGCCCCAGGAGCAAGAAGTACTCTCTGTAGCATAAGCAGGATGGGCATTTTCCAGCTGACATTGCTAGACTGACACACATGAACCTTTTACTGAGGGACAAAATAAGGAKGAAAAATACCTGAGAAAAAAAATTTAAATTTTGTTTGAGCCAAAAAAATTAATTTGTCATTGCATTTAAAGCATGGTTGGAAATGCACTAAGATAAAAAAAAATATTCTGTGAATTAGGATAGGAGAAGTTTATAGAGTGAAAACCCATTCACAAAATATCAGATTGTTCAGTCAATACAAAACTGATCTGGTTTTACTGAATGAAAACAAAATAATGGCAATTTCCATTATTAAGTTCTGAGGAGGAAAAAAAAAGAACAAATGTGATTATTTTGATGTTTTACTACTGACACTTCCGAACTAAGAAAGAATTCTCTTGCTAACATTCATTTTGATGTTCACAAAAGTTGCTTCTTTCTCCTGTACGGCATTCCGCAATGAGCAAATACCTGAATTTCCACACAGAGCAGGCAGAGTTGCCATCTGCATACAGYAGCCCAATACATATGCAAGATTAATGGGTTTTGCTGACAACAAAAGGGAATTTGGAAAACCTTTGGCCTTGACATCGCAACTCCTAACTTACAAGAGAATTCTTCACTGATGTAAGTAGCCTTATCTACCTCAGCTCTTCTGTAATGGTTTGCTGTGCCCCTGCCACAGCGGTAACCCTTACACAATAATCAGGACTTCAAGGCGAATCACTCTCAGCATCTCGTTTACAGGAACTATTTCTTCCCTGTGCAGTCTGATATCTCCCCTCAGTCTGATCAGCCCTTTTTCAAATACCCCACTGCACCTGCCTTCACTTCCTACCCTGTAAATACCCATTAACCAAACAAGCTACCCTGTGAAAATCCAGCACAGGTCCTTCTGCTGGGGTGAGACTAAGAGTAGCCGATAATTTTTAAAAAGGAAACAGTATTTTCCTCTGCCCTTGGCTGGACTCAAAGCTGAATGAACCCCATCAGTATTAACACCTTCAGAGCAGGTTTCACCTCTGATCTAGCAAGTGATGATCAAGATTTTCCCAGACACCCTAGGAGAGCTTTTTCTGTTGTTTCTGCTTTTATTTGACCCTCTTCCCACCAGTCTCCCGCTCCCCAGCCGGCACAGCTGGGTTCAGAGCAGGCGTTGCTGGTGCAGCCCGGTGCTCTGCGAGAACGCCTCTGCCCCCAGAAACGCAGCCGCCCGCCGAAATCGTCCCGGGGCATCCTACAGGAAAGTCCCCCACTGTGTCCAC